AAACAGAAACAGAAATAGGGACAGAGGAAGAGACAGACAGACAGACAAAGACAGAGACAGGCAGACAGACAGGGACAGAGACAGACAGACAGACAAAGACAGAGACAGGCAGACAGACAGGGACAGAGACAGACAGACAAGAAACACAGACACAGAGACAGGGAGCGAGACAGACAGACACAGACAGAAAAAGCCGAAATAACACACGCATGAAAACATGAAAATATACATGAACTAATTCCATAATATCAACAGGCAGTCGATAATTACAGAGTGCACATACACATGCAATGTATAGTTTTCTTTAAAATCTACCGAATAATCAACAATATCAGTGATAATTGACGCTAAAATATATGTATGTATGCATTTATATGTATGTATTTATATGTATATATATACATATATATACATATATAACCATAAGAACGATGACTTTAGACGATCATTTACAGTACTAATGATAGATGTAATAGGCAGGTCAGCACTGATGTTAACAACCGAAAAAAAAAATTATCCAAAATGTAAATGACAAATTAAATAACGGTCTTCATGTCAATGATTCTAACATGACAGTCACAGCACCCCATCAACATGGTCAACACATCATGCACAACCACAAAATGATATGAGATCACTTATTTATCACAACTAAATTCATCAGAATCACCGGTCACTGTACATCTACCTGTTTCGCCAACGCTGCGATGTTGTCTCTTATTTCTCCTTACACTCTTTTTATCGATATTCCTCGGCTTAACCGGAGACAGAGATCTTTATGTCATGATGAGAAGTGTTGTTGCTACAGACTGAATGCGACGAGAGAGAGCAGCGATATACACATGGGTCTGGAACCAATACGTAATACTGACACATACAGCCAGGTCCCTTTAGGGTGCGAAATGTCGGCGAGGCAATAATTATTCCGTATTTGTTTGTCTTTGGGCTGTTTGACAGTCAAATATCAACGGTAGGATATTTATACGGAGGAACATTTGACCTAAAAGTTAAATATAAAGAGTGTTTTTATGTTATAGAATAGTGTTTGCCGAAATTATTATAAATGTACATTATCGTACATCGAACGACTTGTGTGAACCGCCTTCCCGTTTCCATGACAACGCGACGCTACTGGGAGCGGCGATACGAAATATATGTTCTTAAGTTTTGCTTAACATTTCTGCTACTGTAATTATCACTGTTAAACACCATACATATTTTGCAGTATGGTTATTTATTTTACGTACAACAAAATCCTCTTTGTATTATTTGATTTTTTGACAGCTCCCCGCGGTATAGTTGACCGTCTTTAAATGCGTTAATATTTACCATACGGGATATTTACAATATACACAAAAAACTACATAAAACCACAAACTTGAATCTAAATGTAAAATAAAGAAATATGACGATTTCTTTGAACACACTCTGGTATCTGGGGTAATGTATACCATACTAGGATTTCTTTATGGTTAATGGTTAATGGTTAAAACCAAAATAAATGTGCTGGACATCTAAGGTCATACAGCATTAAAATAGGTGGTTGAGCTAGTGATTAGTTGTTAAATCTGGGCAAAGGAATTGATGAGTGAATGGGTTAAGGTCGGGTAAGATAATGTAAAGGGGTTAGACCAAGTGAAGGATATATATGCGCTTGAAGAAGGAAAATAGGTTGTCAATGCAGAAAGTATATAGTGGATGAGGTTATAAGAGGAAAGGATTTGACGATGGTCGGGTCTGTGAGAACGGAAACCGCGAATATTCTAATGAAGGATAGTTATACTTTCGTTGAATTATGAGTGATGACGGTTGTAGTACGTGTTGAAGAATTTGAAGGGGAAGGAGTTAGAGGGTGGAATAAGGAATGAGAGGGGGGAGGTGGTGTTGTATCAGGAGAGGTATCAGGAGGTGGAGGGTCTGAGGAAGGGGATAGTTGTGATATAAGAGACTCATGCATGTATCCAGGAGGGAGTGGAAGGGATAGAGGGGATGGCGGAAGGGTTAATGTAGGTGGGGCTGGAGTCTGGGGGGATGGGCTGTGTTGGGAAGGGGTAAGATGATAGGGTGTAGGGGGGATATGAGTAGGAGGAGGATGGATATCGGCAGTCACTCTGAGTGTGGAGGGAGCAGAAGTTGTGGAATTTGAAGGTGGATGAGGGGTTTTAGTGTAAGTTTGGGACTTGAGTAGATAGTTTTGAATATCTTCAAGAGTTTCTGTAATGGAGTTGGTTGGGGAGTTTTGTGAGACAAAGGTTTTCTTGTGAGGGGGGAAGACAAGACTGGTGTCTGAAGAGTAGAGGCAAAGGAAGGTGGAGGTGATTGTGTGGTAGGGGAAGAGGGGGTGGAACATTTAGTCTGCTGTGGGTAGTGCGGGGAGGGAGAGGGGAAGGTGTTGGGGCTGTAGTAGAGACTGGAGTGTGTGGATTTAGGATGGCAAAAGAATTTGACTGGTAAAGCTAGGAGGTAGAAGAGGGGAAGTTAGAAGGAGGAGGGAAAGGTTTAGGGGAGGGTGTAGGAGCTTGGGAGGTAGGGGGAGTGGCAGAGTGAGCGACATTACTGGAATAGGGAGTAAGAGAAAAACCTCGTCGACGTGCTTCCTGTCTGGCTTCACGTAGAGTGAGTCCAAGTCTGAATCTGAGAGTTGCCACTTCAGACTCAAATTTGTAGGTGGGGCAGTTCCTATAAAATACATTATGGGGGCCACCACAGTTGGCACATGTGCGTGATTGTGCAGAGCAGTTTGATCGAGTATGGCCAGGTTGGGCACATAGCAGGCATCTAGCTGTGGAACGGCAATGTTTGGCTGGATGTCCTAAACGCCAACAATTTTGGTAATGACGAGGAGGAGGTTGATATGGTCAGACAGGGAAGGATTCTCCACCTATGTAAACATTAAAGGGAAGGTCGTGTCTACGGAAAGTAAGAGACTTTGCCTACTTGTGTTTGGAGGCATTGCTGGAAGAAAAGGGTGTTGTCAGAGTAGGGAGCTGTGGGAGGGATCACGAAAAATCGGTCCCATTTGGCTGGGCTAAATAAGAGTATTTAAGATTTTTGTACAGATGGAGGTAGTAGAAGGACGGGGGCGTGTGGAAGAGGGAGTAGTGTTGAGGGAGTTAGTGTTATGGAGAGGTGGGCAATAAGGCTGTAAAGTAGTAATAAGGGAGGATGGGGTAGTTGATGAAGAAGGTTGTGGGGGTAGAGGTGTTGAAGTTGAGCATGTTGGGAGAGTAGAAATGTCTCCTGGGGGTTGAGTGCTGACTAGGGTGGATACTGTACTAGTAGGCATTGAGGAGGAGGTAGTAGTTGTAGTGTTCGGAGCCGTGGTCAAAGGAGAGCCTGGGGTTAGGGAATCGTTTGAATTGAGTTTGAATTGTTGGGGCTATTTGATGAAGGGACAAGCCTCATTGCCCCTAATAGTGGAATTACATCTTCATTATTTAGAGTATGTTGGGGAGAGAAACAGTCCACACCTCAGGGTCCCCTTGAGGGATAAGGGCTAGGCAACTAAAGCAAGGGAATACCGTGCCCATGGCTCCCTCAGGCCGTTCAGGACTGGCACAAAGTCATCCTTTCATCCTTTCAGCACGGCTCTCACACATTAGGAAGTGGATAGTAGAAGGGGTTGGCGAAGGGACAGAAAATTAGTTGAGTTGAGGGCCGAGTCCCAAGGTTGAGGAGTTTTCCCATCATTGGGTCTCAGTCTCCGCCTCCTAAGCCCCTCCCTCCCCACCACGACAACAACGGGCAAGGGATTGGGGGAGGTTCTTTATGAGGTAGCATTAATAGGCCTACTCTCCCTACTGAATTAAAGAAAACTAGTTGCTATGTCAAATCTCTAATGTATGTGCAGTGGGATTTGTTTGTAAAAGTTTGTTTGTAAGCCCTCAAAATTCTAGTAATAGAATAGTTGTTGTACTAATACTAGTGCCAGCAGCAGCAGCAGCAGCAGCAGGGCAATAGCAACAGCAGCAATAATAGTAGTAGTGGCACTGGCAGTAGTAATAGTAATAATAATAACAAAAAAATATAAATGATAAAAATAGAGGAAAATATATTAACCCATTGCCGCCGGGGATGGCATGTACGTACATGCCATGCCCACTGTGAGTCGACTTGTTCGATTGTTTTTACACATAGATGGCTACACTTGTACTAAGTATCCAATGAGCGAATTACGAGAACTGCATGTCTCGCCCGTTCACCCTTTTCATCGATTTACGAAAATATTTAACGTTATCCTAATTTGCTGTTAAAAATAACACCATCTATATTTATAGCACTAGTAAAAATATGTTTTTTCCCGCCATTTCAAGGAAAGGTGAAATCAGGACTAGCAGAGCCATCTATGGACAGAGATATTTCACAAAAATATAAAAAATGAGTGCTACATTTCCCCCATTTTTTGTTCATTTTCCCCGGCGGCAATGGATTAAGCTTATAAAAATGATTGATAAACAGAATGACAAACACAATAAAAATAATGACAATGACAACAATGAATGATTGATGATGATGATCATCATCATAAGAGTAATGATAATGTGATAAAAAAAGTAATAACAAATATATCAATGACAATAATAACAAAACAACAATAATAATAAAAATAATAATAATAAAATAACATTAACATTATGATAATAACAATAATGCTAATACTGATAATACATACATACATATTCTATAGAATATTTTTTCTACTAACTTCTCCACAAGAGGATATAAGAAAAAATAAAGGGAAGAAAAAGCAGAAAACAAAAGAAAACAAAAAGAAAAAAGAAACATAGAAAAGGAAAAATACATAACGAATATGCATCAGAAAAATGATGACAAAGAGAAATAGAAAAGAGAGTATAAAGAGTAAGAAAAAGTTATAAAGTGAGAAAGAATTATTTCCTCATCCAAAACTGTGGTCATCTGTGCATGTAAAAGACTGAACACCTAACACACAACAGTATGTACATCTAACATAAAAAAATGGGGATAAATAATACAACTCA